AATTTCTATGCATCGCAAAGCTCATGTGCTTGTTTGTGGTTTTGTGCCATCTGGAAGTTCAAACTTGACTTTAGAAATGATGTCATTCTTGCTTGCTTCAAACTCGGCTAATGTTGCTTGAGAATTGGATGCTGTTCAGGTCAAAGTTTTGTATTAAAAAGAAAAAAAAAAAGAACCTCAAGTGTTGTTTCTTGATTCCAAGAGACTAGGTAAAATTCTAATGATAGAGTGAAGGTGATTGAAAGGCAGGATCCATATTCCTTTGAAGTTAAGTACTTGATTTCTGGCACATGGAAAATAAATTCCCATATAGGAGACCTCAGCTGGCACAGACTCCCTACTGCCATGTTGAGTTTGAGGGCTGTGAGCTGTGTGTTGATCACAACCATCCTTACTCTTATTTTATTCCAGGAGAACTGTTCTCATGGTTAGGTTGCTTTTCTTCTCTTCTGAGCTCAGGAAGATGTGACAGGCACTGACAGATCACACATGGTGAGATAGTGTTACAAATGTTCAGTGTATTATTCATCATTATGGAATCTCTTTTTCTTTTTTAATGAGTTTTTTATTGTGAAAATAATGTACAGAGGAGTACAGTTACATGAGCAAGGTAATGAGTACATTTCTCATCAAGCATTGTTGCCTCCTCCTTTGTTTTTCCCCTACCATCCCTTCCTTCCCACCTCCCTAACTACACTCCCCCTACTTACCTAAATTGTAAAAATCATTTTTCAATATAGCATCTTGTACATCTCATTATTGCAATGGGTCAACCTGTATCCCTATTTAAACATTTTGTTTTTTCCCTTCCACTCCCAAATATCAAATACAGTGAAAATAGGTGTTTTACTGTGGGGGAGGGACATACAAAGCAACAGAAAAATCACATGGCACCTTATAAATATGTTAGAAACAATAGCAAGAAAGAAAAAAAAAACACTGTGTCCTTATCCTGGGGTTCATTTCCCTTAACATCATCTTATCTGACCTTTTCTGCTTGTCTCAGATTTATACTAGTTATTGCAAATAAGGGAAACTATGGGACCTATATATTTCTCTTTTTCTAAATGATCTCTAGCACCACTTTCTCCCTCCCGTATTGTGACTTATTTACATCACAGTTTGGATGTGGTTATTCCCTTTTGGATCACATATAAACCACTGAACTTTGAGAGGTACAATGTAGGCCTGGCTGTGCCACAATTACATATTTCTTCTCTGAATCCCACTCAGTAGGACCATGTATAAATATCTATAATTGACTGTAACTGAACTGGTTCAAACCAATGGAGTGCTTAGTATTTCCTGGTGCTGTTCCAGATACACAGATGAAGAAAGATAGCTTCAGTTATTGATAAGCTACTTCAAAATCTGGCATGCTTAAGCTTCGGTGCACCTGTCATGGATTTCACATAGGAAGATTCCCAGGACCTTAGTGTATCCCTTTTCCACCTTTGTATGTCTATGGCTTTTGTATGAAGAGAAACATAGCTATTGAATGTTTGAAGAATCTGCACTTCTCAATCTCTGACCACAGATACCTGCCCTCTCTCACAGTGCAGTCAGGACCATTCTGCCTTGTGGGCTCCCTCCACCTGTCATCACCTCCCAACTCCATCCTCTTTACTGTTCCAGAAACTGGCAAAACTCTCGTTTACCCATGATCTCATCACCTCCTACCTTAAAAAATAGAAGGAATCTCTTTCTTGGGAAGGGTAAGCAAAGGAGATTCTATTTCAATATGTTTTTCTTATCTTTAATATCATCATACTTCCCTCGCATAGTCTACCAAAGACTCACTACTGCCTTTAGCATAATAAAATACTAGGGACTTAGAGACTATATCTTTCAACCTCTTTGTTTCACAGATGAAAAAGGAATGGATGAAGGTTGGGAGGGAGACATTATCTGCCCCAATCTGCACAGGTAGAATGAGGCAGACCCAGCCCTAAAACTTCCTCCCATTCTTCCCGCTTGCTTTTTGGTTTTGTATCCTCATAATGTTTACAAATGGGTTTATTATGATATACAATTGCAACTTTTAAATGTTTTTATCTCAGTCTTTCCTTTTTAATTTCCATTTTATTTACCTGTAATATAAATGAAGCAACATTTTCATGAAATGAAAATACTGTCACTGCCGATGGTCCCACTTCTTCCCAAGACAATCTCTTTCCACTTTTTTTGGCTTGCTAATTTTTGATAGCTCTGCTTCTTGGCTTTTGGTGTTGACTTTCTGCTATGGAAGGTGAGAAACTCTCTATTACCTTGGCACCTATCACCCATGTGAACCATGTTGTCCTCTACCCCTTTATTCTCCCGGAGGGTTTATGTGGTAATCTGGTTGCTAGGCTTGGTGGCATGGTTTCATTATTTTTTGGTCTTACTTATTCATTGAAGTGATTATTGCAAGATACTTCTTAACTTTGGTTATATTTTCAACTTGATTAAATTATGTTATAACCATACTGAAGTGTAGCTTATTAAACTTCACAATTTAATGGAGTTGGGCAAATTGGTACACGATGTATAGAGTCTTCTATTCAAGCTTGAAAACAAAAGCTTTCCTTCTAGCTTATAGCAATTTGTTCTTCTTGCTTCAGACAGCGTAGCTCTCACTTCTATCACTGTAGATTACCTTTACCTATTTTAGAATTATTTTTAAGAAATGAATGTGGAATCAAGCAATAACTCCTCCTGATTCTCTTCACTTACCTTGCTTTTAAGATTTAGTATTGTGTTGTACATATCTGAAGTTTATTCCTTTTGGTGGTTCTACATTGTTCCATACAAAATACCACAGTTTTGCTTATTCATTTACCTGATAGTGGGCATATGGGCTGAGGCCAATTTGATTCACTGTAAATAATACTACCAGCATTTCTATAAGCATCATTTTGTAAGTGCATATTATATAGTCACTTAGGATCTTACTTAATTTTGATTTGTTGTAGTACACCCAGTGCATTACTTTCTCACATCAAGGAAGCTAAGCACAAGTTATTTCATATGCCCCTCCCCGAGGTGATCTAGTTGGATCATTGGGGAGGTGACTCTTACAACCCATAGATTCTAGAACCCATAGGTTCTAACTTAGATCTTCATACCTTTACATATACTCATATATTAAGGTATTACTAAGGTTCTAGAAATCTAAGACTCGTGTGCTAGTAGATTCAGTGTCTAGTGGAACATGAGACAGCACCTTCTTACTGTGTCCTCGTGAGTGAAAGCGCTAATGAGTGTCTTTGGTCCTTTTTTCTAAGGGAACCAATCCCATTCAGGGGGAATCTGACTCCACAATCTAATCCCCACCTCTTAATATTATCACACTGAAGACTAGATTTCAGCATAAGAATTTTACTGCATATACATGATTGCAGTGATGTCTGCTTAAATGGCAGCACTGTCATTTTGGCAAAGGATTCTAGTCTTTAAAAATATATATACAGCAAGGCATTGGTGGGTCATGCCTGTAATCCTAGCTACTCAGGAAGTTGAGATCTGAGGATCACCATTCAAAGCCAGCCCAGGCAGGAATGACCAGGAGACTCTTTAAAATGGTAGGGGCATACTCTGGTTTATCTTCAGATCGTATAAATCTTTCGCCTTTTACTAAAATGGTAGGGGCTAGGAAGGTGGCTCAGTGGTAGAGTGCTTGCCTTGCATGCTTGAGGCCCTGGGTTTGATTCAGCACCACATAAGCAGAAAAAGCCAGAAGTGGCACTGTGGTTCAAGTGGTAGAGCACTAGCCTTGAGCTGAAGAGGTGAGAGACAGGGCCCAGGCCCAGAGTTCAGGCCCCATGATTGACAAAAAATAAATGCAGATTGAGTAGTCTCAACATAAAAATTTCTTTTATAGGGGCTGGGAAGGTGACTCAGTGGTAGAGCGCTTGCCTTGCATGCATGAGGCCCTGGGTTCAATTCCTCAGCACCACATAAGCAAAAAAAGAAAAAAGCCGGAAGTGGCGCTGTGGCTCAAGTGGTAGAGGGCTAGCCTTGAGCTGAAGAGCTGAGGGACAGCACCCAGGCCCAGAGTTCAGGCCCCACCACCGGACCCCCCAAAAATTTCTTTTATATAAAATTTAAGATGTTGAATTAAAAATAAAACTTAACTGGTATTGATGGTTTATGCCTATAATGCTAGCTACTTATGAGGCCGGGATATAAGGATTATGGCTTGAAGCCAGCCCATGAGACTCTTAACTATAATTAACTAGCAAATGAAGTGAAAGTATGGCTCAAGTGATAGAGCACCAGCCTTGTGTGAAAAAGCCAAGTAAGAGCAAGTGGCCCTGATTGGGTTCAAGCCCCAAAACTGGCATCAAAGCAAACTAACAAAGCAAGCAAACAAAATTAAAGCTTATATTTTCTTCTTTTATTAATGATACTTAGAAGCAGAATTTATAATTTTATCATTGGAAATTAGAAATTTTATACTTATTTCTCAGGTAGAAATAGGAATTTTCTTTGGTATACTTTGTTTATAAAATGGGTATTTTGTTTTGACATCATTTCTTCTTTTAGCAGCATTAACTTCCTCTTGGCAACACATACTTTGCGAATTTAGGAGTTGCTGCTCATGCCAGTCGTGTTCTCCAAGATGCTCATTGTGTTCTCTGTATTCCTGGAGGACTCTGTCAAACTTGAACATTGTTTTGCCCTCCCTGGGCTCATTACATAGTGTATTAGTGTGCTTTGTTTCTACCTAAATAAGCGAGAAAACGAACATGACAATGTATCCTAATTTACAATACCTTATTTCACAGAATCTTTATACTCTTGAAAGAATATTATTGTTGACAGATAGTCTCAACAGGACTTTCCACTAGAGCACAGGCTGTGAAAATTTGTGGCATTCAGGTGTTGCATTCAGGTATTTCTGAGTAGTTATTTGCTCATATTGTTCTTTAGAGACAAATGCCGCAAGCCCTCACAGGAGCACTGTCAATTATTGATAAATTCTTTGTAAAACCAGAGCCTTTTCCCCCTGATTTCAGGTTGATGCACTGAGATTACGATTGGAAGAGAAAGAATCTTTCCTGAACAAAAAGACAAAACAACTGCAGGATCTCACAGAAGAAAAGGGGACCCTGGCTGGAGAGATTCGTGACATGAAAGATATGCTAGAAGTGAAGGAAAGAAAAATCAATGTTCTGCAGAAAAAGGTGAGTGATTGACACCAGCCCTCTAAGAGTGGATGTCACACAACCAACTATTTTATCATTTAAAATTTTGTTGCATACTTCAAAAAATAAATGATCTCCTAAGAGTTTAGATTAGGAAATATATAACTTTTACCTACTGTTCTTTAACATGTTAATATTTGTATTATATAATTTTATCGTTATCTCATGGAATTATTTGATTATATAAAAACGAAATGAAAAACCAACAGCTTAAGGGCTGGGAAGGTGGCTCAGTGGTAGAGCGCTTGCCTTGCAAACCAGAGGCCCTGGGTTTGATTCCTCAGCACCACATAAGCAAAAAGAAAAAAGCCAGAAGTGGCGCTGTGGCTCAAGTGGTAGAGTGCTACCTTGAGCTGAAGAGCTGAGGGACAGCACCCAGGCCCAGAGTTCAGGCCCCATGACAGGACCCCCCAAAAAAACAAACCAACAGCTTAAATATAGAGGTAATTGTTTAAATTCAGATGTAAGTCTAAAGTAATACTGCTGGTCATGTAGCTGAGTGTTCTTGGCATGTGCTAGGCCCTTGATTCAATCCACAGCACCAGAAAATTAATGAAGAATTTAAAAGCCCAAAAGGTTGTTTTAATTTTTCCTTTTTTGTTACTGTGAGTTGAATAATGTATTTTATTGGTATTTAGGTATATTTTAGACACATGAAATATTTTTTGTTTGTATGGTTATACAGGGAGATTTCATTGTTACTTCTTCATTCATGTCAATTCTATATTCCAATGAGTTTTATATTTGCTGTCCCACTAGACATATTCTATAGTTGCATAAACTTTGGACTGCCTTATCCTTCTCTCTTAGTCCAGTCCTGCTACAATAACAAAGTATTCAAGACTGAGTAATTTATGAAAACCAAAAATTTACTTTCTCACAATTCTTAGGGTTGGGAAATCCCAAGTCAAGGTGTAGGCAGGTTTGTTGTTAGGCCAGAGCCTTCTTTCTACTTTCAAGATGGAGCCTTGACTCCTTGCTGGATGGATGGGAAAGACAGACAGAAAGGCCTACCTGGTTTCTGCAACCCTTTTATAAGGCTGCTAATCATATGCAGGAGGACTTGAATTTTATGACTGAATTACTTCCTAAAGATCCCATCTCTTCATTCTATCATGTTGACAGTTAAGTTTCAACATAATAATTTTGAGATTCACATTCAGAGCATACCAGTGGCCAAACATTTGTAGACTTTTATTTTTGTAGTGGAGAATAATGTTTTACTCACATTACTCAACTGAAATCAGTGGAGATAATGTATAAGATACTCTAGTGGCCTAACAAGAAGATATCCAACCACATTAGGGTCCCTGTTTTTTCCCCTCTTTCAGTGCCTCATTTATCCATTATAATGTTGACAGCATCATCATTTTTCTATTGTGTTCAGTTTTGGTGAAACTGTAGATTGTCCTGCCTTTTTATTATTGTGAAAATACTGTACAGAAGGGTTACAATTACATGGGCAAGATAATGAGTATATTTCTTATCAAGCATTGTAGCCTGCTCCTTTGTTTCCCCTTCCTATCCTCCCCCCACCCCCCCACCCAATCTTCCTCCTCCCCCCCACCAAAGTTGTAAAGTTCGTTTGCTTGTCCTGCCTTTTCTTAGGAAAAAGAAATGATGAGCAAGAAAAGAAGCAAATTCAGTGCTATCTTATAAAAAGACGAATATGTTAGAAAGACAAAGAACTCTCAGATTAATAGGCAGTTATTATGTAACCACAGTGGACACTAGCAGGGGGTAGCAGAATTAGCTCTCCAGGACACTACTGTGGACAACATGTGGCCTGGTACTGTGTTATTGATGTAGCAACTGGAACTGTCTCCTCTTTCCTCACCTTCATCATTCACTTCACTTTTACCAAGAACATGCTAGCTGTCTTCTTACATTGATCTGTATGTTTCCTATAGTCCAGCCTCAACAGTGAAATTGGAACAATCCTTTTAAACCATAACATAATTTATGTTACTTTCTCACCAAAAAACTCTCCAGCTACAACCAGCTACATAATGTGTGGGAGACATAGTACACATGAAAATGTGAAACGTCTTGTTCAGAAATGGAGAAATTCACAATAATATAACAGAGCATTAAAAGAGGCTTGAAGCTAGTATAGCTGCATGAGACACAGGCTATGAAGCTGCTGCATTTCAGTGGCTTCCATTTTCACCAGACTAATAGTGGAAGAGTCACATTATCCTGCATGGTTATCTCTTGACATCTGTCTTGTCTTCCCTTTACCCATGTTGCATTGGCCAGTGTGGTCTGTGAGCTCTTGCAGAAACATCAGGCATGTCTTCTTACAGTCTGACATTTGCTCATCTCTGTGGAGACACTCATCCTGGACTTATACTGACTAGTTTGTTAGCCACGGGCTTTAAATTCTTTATTGTACTCAGTGTGAAATACATACCAGATTCTGAAGACATCATGAAAAGTAGAATGTGAATGATGGCACCAATAATTTTTATGTCAAAAATATTTAAATGAAACATTTTGGAACATATCAAGTAAATATATTTGAAGATTATATACTCAAGTATACTATGAATTATATATATAAACCTCTTTCTTTTTACCTTTTAAATGTCTTTACTATAGTTAAAAATGACCTATGTGACATTATGCTCCTGTTATGTCTCTATATTTATGCTTTAAATATCCACATGGCTAATGTCTTTCCATCTTTTGAATGTCTGCTCAAATGACCTTTGCAGTCATACATAAAATAGCATGACCACATTCATGTTTTCACGTGTAGTTTTATTTTCCTAAACAGATATAATACTTTTTGGCAAGTGTATGTATATTTAAATTTCTTCATTCATATTACTGGCACATACTTTCCAAGATTACCAGCGTTATTATTACTATTTTCCATTTTTTTTTAGTTCTTTGGTGCCTAGAAAGTATACCTGATCAATAAATCGTTAGTGATTGAATCAATGAATGAACTTTCTCCAGAGTTGAGTCTTGACTAGTAGCATTTAATCTGTTAAAATTAGTTCACACACATACCTCCTATTCTGAGGAAAATGTCCCTGCTCTTTCAAGAGATACGTGTTTGTTATGGATGATTTCCAAGAAATTATCAATGAATTCCCAATATCTAGACCACTCCCCTCATCTATGTACCTAAATTTTCACAAATAAATTCACAAGTCTTTTGTGACTCAGAGGGATAGCACGTAACTTGCTAAGACGTTTATAATTATTAATCCCAGGAATTAAGGAATATTTAGGCTTACGTTATTCTTGTGCAAGGTCATGAAACCTGCATACGTTTTTTTGTCTTTGAGAAAAGAGAAGAAACTGGTTAATGTAAATTAAATCAAAATGTTTGTTTTATCTCAGTTTTTTAGTGACAATGAAAGTAAGAGTGAAGTGTAAAAGTGAATTGGGAGAGAATATTCCAGTGGGTTTTTTTGTTAATAGTTGAGATTAAATGCTCTAATTGTGTGTGTGTGTGTGTGTGTGTGTGTGTGTTTGGGGCTTGAATTCAGGGCCTGGGCGCTCTCCCTGAGTTTCTTTTCCTCAGTGCTAATACTTGAACCACTTGAACTACACTCCACTTCCAGCTTTTTTGGTAGTTAATTGAAAATAAGAGTCTCATGGACTTTCCTGCTTGAGCTGCCTTTAAACTTCAACCCTCAGATCCCAAGTTCCTGAGTAGCTATAAGTTATAAGTAATATTATAAGTGTGAGCTTCCAGTGCCTGCCTTAAATATTCTAATTCTTGAGAAATAGCCATAGTTGCTCAGTAAGATTTTGAGATGTCACTTTCAGTGAAAGGGGGACAAATGATTTCTGCTGCTGTAAATACTTTGCATAATTTTAAACTTCCTTCCACAGCTAGACCAAAAAGCACGGGAACTAATTTGAAAGTTCTAGAACAGAGCCAGTCATGTACTGTGGCTCCTTTTGGCAACATGATCATGGTCTTATGTGCTTAAATCAAATCGATAGTGGATTTGAAAATATTTCATGTCAATTTTGAGATGTTTCTTATGTGCAACTTTTTTTATATACGTGTTTATTGTTAAATTTGTCAATGTTTTGAAGGGGCAGGAGCTCTGTTATACCTGCAATGTGTGTAAAAATAGATCTCCAAACAAGTGAGGCACAAAATTCAGAAAGTAATTCAGAATGTGGCAATAATGCAGAAAGCATGGGCTAATGAAATATTGTTTTTGGAGCTAGAGTTGCCTTGAAATTTTGACTGTCTTCAGCATAATTGACTGTTGTAGGGCAGAAGTAGATTGGAATCGCATAAGCTTTGGGTTAGAATGTGTAATCCTGAAAGAATAATAAACTTACATCAATGTTACTGCAGTAGCATTACCTCTGTGTCAACTTACACTGTGTTTTGGTGCCAATCGAGCTGGGTATGCTCCTTTGCTAGTCTCACTTAACTTGGTAAAGCTAGTCTTACACATCAGAACTATCAAATTTGCCTTTGAAGTCTTGGATCTCTAAAGTCCTATATGCTATGTGAGCCATGAAAACCTGCCTGGACACAATGCTCTAAATATTTTGTCACTTGAAGAGAGAGCCCCAGGTGTCAGAAAAGCTCTGTTCAACCTTTTGTCGGAAGAAAGAGATCATCCAAATGGACTTTTGTCCCTGATGTCATATTCTTGGGTATACTGCATAATGCCAAGGTATGGAATATTTTAGGTAAGGGTCAAAATCATGAATATATGATAAGTGTTTAGTGGACTTTCTTCTTCCAACTGTGATACCAAATTCTGGTGAATAGTAGTTAGCATGTTGCAGGTGTAGCATTCTATTCCCACACTTGAATAAAACTTCAGCTGATGAAGTGCTACCTGACTATTGAGTTTTTGTAAGAAATATCATAAAACCTTGATGACATTGTACATTTGGAAAGTTTATAATGCCCAGGATTTTAGGGCATGGTAGCATTGTTTAAACCAGATCAAATTCAGACTTGTATGCAGCTCATAGAATCTTAGAAC